CCCTAGTAGCGTTCTTGCTCCTAGTAGTAAGGCCAGGAGCCCCTAGTAGCGTTCTAGTAGCAAGGCCACGAGCCCCTAATAGCGTTCTTGCTTCTAGTAGCACGGCCACGAGCCCCTAGTAGCGTTCTTGTTTCCTAACTTGATCTCGATTACATCCTCCCGTGTCCACATGGACTTTCTCATCCGCATGCATCTTCGTGCACGGCTTTCAACCCACGGCTTGAATTGCGGTGTAAAAACATGATCGGAAGGCTTAGGAGGTCCATTGTTGTGGGACCTGGCTCAGCCCAGCTGCCGCCCCAATATTCTTTCACATCAGCTAAAACATGAAGCAACATGAAGCAACAATTGCAAGCACCTATCGAGTCAAAGAGGCCAACACAACAAACTGGGACCACATGAGGGGAAGTTGGTGCGCTCTAGTGATGGGAGTTGGCCAAGGAGCCGGGCAGAAATGGACATCAAATAAAGGTAGACCAGTAGACCAAGGTTTTTTGGCCTTCCTCCTTTGGTGGAGCTACAAGGAGTTCTCGTTCTGATCCTTTCAGCACTTCCTAGTTTCACTTCAGTTCATTGAATCATTTGCAGCATTCTTTCATATTCAATCTTTCCAGTCTCCTGATGTAATGTCCCTCGTGCAGAATGCGTGAATCATGCTGCTCGCGTATGAAAGGTGCCTTGAGAAGGGATGCACATCATCATGAATCATAACATAGACAAAGAAATCACCAGAGCTCACAGCAGACGGCAGCAGAGACCGCTGACGGCTACCTGCTACAGCTCCTTTCGCGAAACGAGTCTTCAAAACCGCCACAAATCCCTTCATCCACATCAAAGCAAACAACTGCCACAACAATCTTGGATAGCCCCAAAGGTCGGGAAGTTGCGCAGTACCGCCCCGCAGGTGCCCGTGGACCACTGCCAACGGTAATTCCCTGTTAGGTGGGTTTTGGGTCGAACATGGTCGAACGAACTTGCCCATGTCTGGTCGCTGCAGGTGTTTCATCAACAAATCATTTCAAAAAACGTCAGTTGTTCCCTCCAAACTGTCACATATGTTGTCAGACTTGAATTGTGGAGCTGTCCTTTTGTCACGAAAGCTAGCCTTAGCTAGCTGGAGTTGCTCTTGCTTTAGCAAGTTAAGTGACGGGGTGGACACGCCCCAGAAACCTCAAATAATTGATTAAATCAATCTTATGGACCCCCCCCCCGCGGTTCGACTCCCCCCTGCGCGCGGTGAGCGGGACCACCAAGCAGCTGCAGCACACCAAGCATCTGCAGTCTACCACCAAGCAGCTGCAGCAAACCACAAAGGAGCAGCAGCAGCAGACAGCAGCAGCAGACCACCCAGCGCCAGCAGCAGCAGCAGCAGACGACCCGGCGCTAGCAGAGCACCCAGCGCAGCAGCGGCAGCAGCAGCAGCA